GAATTGAATTACTGAAATAAATTAACTTTACCATGATATTCTAATTTATTGAGATGCACCTGTATGTGGTGGACATGTAAATAAAGTTAATATTCAGAATTCTTTATACCTCCATGTCAAACTTCAGTACAGTGCTGTCACTTTAATAAAAGCTCACAAAGTCATGCTATAGTGTATTACTGATGTATGCAAGACATCATTCCATTTCATTCATAATCTGTTATATGTAAGAGCAGTTGTCTGTGTCTTTACATACTTTAAAGCTCAATTTATAAATAATGGACACCACTTACAATACTTTACTAACCTTGTTATAAGTAGTCATGCATGATTCTAAACATTTATGAAGAGTTTTATAAAGCCTTAAATAAATATAAAAATATATTAATCCATTATAATATTTTATGAGTGTGCTTATAATGAATTATAGACATTACCTTCATAGAAAGTGTTACCAAAAAGTTTTTTCTCAAGTTAATTAATCTTAATATTTAGTTAGGCTATAATTAGGGATGGGATTTGATGAGATTTTAATGATATCAATACCATTATTGATTCTGCTTATCATTCCAATTATTTCAATTCATTTTTTTTTAGGCCTATGCAGGTCAGCATCAGCGCCACGTTTTTAGTGTAGTGTAGAAACAGAGTAGAGTTATAGTGGTTTGAGTTTCTTTGTGAAAATGGGGCCACGCTTTTGACCGTTTCTTCCTCTTCACCATTACTCCTTCTTGTTGCAAATTTCTAGCAGTGACAGACATCAATGATTTGTAATGCACAACCATCAGAAAAAGATGCTGGCATTGTTTAAAGGAATTGATAAGCTCGGTGGCATACGATTCTGGACAATTTTTAACCAGTTCTCAACTGAAACTTGTGTCAGATGTTGAAAACCCCTGACAAAGAGGAACTCACGTTTTAAAGCAGGGATCCCCAGACAGAAGAGTCATCCCAATTGTTACCTGTTAAAACCAAAAAACAGAGATGTTTTACTAAACCTCAGTGCTGATCAGTTCAGAATGTGCGTGTGTGTGCAGGTGTAGGTGTGTATTTGCCCTGCCTTGAGGATGGAGTTGTCCTGTCGAGTGTTTTTTGTGTCATAACCCTCCAGGATGCAGCAGCGAACTGTGGAGCCTGAACCAGCAAACTCTGCGATATTGAGATCAGCAAAACCTAGCTGGAGACAGACAGACAGGCAGACAGACGAAAATAAAACATTTAAGGTGGAAAGTGGGAAGTTCCAGGTCAAGTCTGGTCCACTTCTTTGTATTTTCTTCCCTTCACAGACCTAAATCAGCAGGAATGCGAGATTTTTTATCGTCCTTTGCATGAGATCTTATTTGTTCTGCCAACATACTGTAAATCGCATCTGTAACTAACGCTCAATTAGTGCTGTCATGTGAGGAAGTGAATGAAGGGAAACAGGAGAGAGAGACTTTTTATAGAAGTCAATAACCTCCTTTAACCTCTTCATTCATGGTTTTCTGCCCAGTCAGCACAGCTTCTCGCTTGAGGGGTCACACTGTGTGACGATGGTGTTGTGTGTGAGCATAATGCATTGTCATTGTTGATCCTATTAGCATATTCTGTGCAAATTTGTCCCATCTGTGTTGAAAATGTCATACTTGTCCTGCAACAAGTAATACAACTCGTCACAGACTTTTCTGTGACATTTCTGTACTTGATTATGACCCGCTTCACTCAATAGAGATTGAGGACTTTCTCCCAGTTTTTTTTGCAAAACATGGTGGAAACATTAGATAATTAAAAAACCCTGCACAAGAATCAACCCACAGTCTTTAAGGTGGTGACATGCAGACGTTGTGTGCCTGTGAACACTGTCGTACCATTATTTATTATTCGGGGACATCTATTTTTTTTATTTTTTTTTAAAAGCTGTTCTTTTTTTACGATTTTCATTTCAGCATAGGAAATTGATTGAGACAAAGATACCCGGTTTAATTATGTTACATATTTGTATTGTGATATTGTGGCATGTTATTCATAAGTATGTTTTAATTATAGTGTATAATCGACTGAATATAAGAATCGTTGTGGTTTTGTCAGAATGAACCGTTTTTATCTACAGAGGGAGTGGGTCCTGTTCTATGGAGGCCACCATGTTGAACGGCCACGTTCATGTACAGTACCAACAAAACCTTTAGCTTTAGACATCAAGTCTGGTTTACCATATAACTCCCAAAGGACCAGTGGGTGAGATTCAGTGGCATCTAGCAGTGAAGTTGCAGACTGCAACAA